AGTCTGCCTCCAGTTGCAGAGCCTACCGATCTGGGGCTCACCCCACAACGTCCCTTCCCCCATCAGTATCCCCGTGCATGACGCCGACCCTCCGGGCATCAACCTAGCCGGAACTTTATCAACTATTTCATTCCTAAGCCGTCTTTCTCCACAATGGGGACGCAAAGCAGCTTCCGTCTTTCTCCTTTCTCCATTTTATCCTCACCACGACCCTGCAAGGTAGGCGAGGCTTGCGATCACGTGACTGGCCCCAGGTCACCCAGCGAGCTTTCCCTGGAAGAGCGAGGGTTCAGGCCGGGGTCCCCGCAATCCTAGTCTGGCGCTCTAACCAGTCCACCACGCTGTGCCCCCCCTCAGGCATCAGGTTTTCGCAACGGTGTCCATCACCCTGAAAAGACACCCACAACCCGCGCGTGCCCGCAGCTTCCTTTGGGAGTGCTTTGTCTCTGTACACACAAATGCGATCTCCTGGCAATGAACACACAACTTCTAGCACCCCTATCGAGACACAACCACAGGCCAAAGTCTATTTTCAGGAACGACCTTGGTCACCTTCCTCAAATCCTGAAGCTCTCTCCTTCTAATCACCGAATCACAGAAATCTTAGAGCTGGAAGGGACCTCCAGGGTCATCTAGTCCAACCCCCAAGCAATCCACAAATACCTCCCCCACACACACCCGCAGTCACCCCAGTTCCATGCCCAGAAGAGGGCAAAAAACCTCCAGGATCTCTGGCCAAATTGGCCTGGAGGAGAAAAACTGCTTCCTGACCCCAAAGTGATGATTGGCATTTCCCTGGGCGTGTAAGAAAGGGCCACGAGGACTAACCCTCCCTGCCTTCCCTCTCAGGATCTGCCTCAGTTCACGGAATCAGCACTCCTGTCAGATGGCCATCCAGCCTCTGCTTGAAAACCTCCATAAGAAAACCTCCACGGAAAACCTCTATCAGTCTCACATCTATTTAGTTTTAGGGAGGAATGGGGGGTTGAATGCCCGCGTGCTTCTCCCTGAGTCTCTAGAAGTGAAGAGACTCAGGAAGAGCAGGAAGGGAAGAGCCAGTGCCCAGTGCCCAAATCAGCCAGTATCATCATGCCCCTGTATAAATCAATGGTGCCACCTCATTTGGAGTACTGTGTACAGTTCTGGCCACCACACCTCAAAAAGGATATTACAGCACTGGAAAAAGTGCAGAAAAGGGCAACTAGAATGTTAAACGGGTTGGGACACTTTCCCTACTGAAGAAAGGTTAAAACGCTTGGGGCTCTTTAGCTTGGAGAAACGATGGCTGAGGGGTGACATGATTGAGGTTCATAAGATTATGCGTGGGATAGAACAGGTTGAGAAAGAGGTACTTTTCTCCCTTTCTCACCATACAAGAACTCGTGGGCACTCAATTACATTGCTGAGCAGTCGGGTTAGAACAGATAAAAGGAAGTACTCCTTCACGCAAAGAGTGATGAACACACGGAATTCATCCCAAGAGGGATTTAGATAAGCATACGGAGCAGAGATTCATCAGTGGCTTTTAGCCACAAGGTATACATAGGAACTATCAGTCTGGGGCAAGTGATGCTCTATATTCTTGGTGCTTGGGGGGGGGGCAACAGTGGGAGGGCTTCTAGTGTCCTGGCCCCACCGCTGAACCTCCTGATGGCACCTGGTATTTCTGGCCACTGTGTGACAGAGTGTTGGACTTGATGGGCCATTGGCCTGATCCAACATTGGCTTCTCTTATGTCCTGTTCTTAGCTCTTGCGGCCCTTTCCTTATATGCCCGGGGTAACGCCAACCACCCCTTTGGGTTCAGGAAGGAATTTTCCTCCAGGCCAGATTGGCTGAAGGATCTTGGAGGTTTTTCTGCCTTCCTACGGGCCTACAGCAGGGGTCACCGGGGCAGTGAGGTGGGCAGGTAGCTGTGAATTTCCTGCACTGTCAAGGAGGTTGGACTAGTTGACTCTTGGGAATCCCTTTCCAGCTTGATGTTTCTGTGTTTCCCCTTAAAGGCGCAGCACAAAGCCTACCCAGTGTCTGCTTTCAGATCAAGGGCTCAGGCGAGTGGCGCACTTCTCCCGCAAACAAGAAATAACGTGTCATTTTGCTAAATGTGAGCCTTACACACACCCGACAAGCTGTGAAGTCCTGTGAGCAAAAATTCCACTTTGTGAGCTACTGGCATTAAAGTTGTGAGCAAGCAATTTGGCTACTGCATAAATTAGTTTGCTCTGGAGCCATCCTTTCTGAGCTAAGACAAAAACATGTGAGCCGGAGGCTAAAAAACTGTGAGCTAGCTCACACTAACTCAGCTTAGAGGGAACACTGCCGACAACATCTTTCTCTTTCAAAGAGAAGAAGAAGAGGTTGGATTTATACCCCGCCCTTCACTACCTGCAGGAGTCTCAGAGCGGCTTACAATCCCTTCCCCTCCCCACAAGAAACACCCTGTGAGGCAGGTGGGGCCGAGAGAGCTCTTTTTGAGGACTGCTCTTGAGAGAACAGCTCTGAGAGGACTTGTGACTGACCCAAGGCCACACCAGCAGCTGCTTGTGGAGGAGTGGGGAATCAAACCCGGTTCTCCCAGATTAGAGCCCGCACTCTTAACCACTCTTAACCACTACACCAAAGATTCCATCAGCCAACAAAATTCCCATTCTACGGATTCATGCCTGCTTCCAGAAGGTCTCCTTGACCTGGTCTTCACCCACCATGATACAGGACTTCAGGCCAGTGGACGGTTTCGCTACCCTCCCTAAGCACTGCATTGACCGACAACAAGTGAGCCCCTGCATTCTTACACAGGGCAAGTGCCCTTTTTCCAGAGGGGGGGACATATAGACACTGTATTTGTGGTGTTCACAAGAGCCCAATGGACTCCCCAAGGCATCATTCACCACGGTCCCTTTGGACCAGAAGGAGTTCAGCGTTCCCCCTGCCTCCATTTCATTCTCACAACGACCCTGCGAGGTAGCTGATTTCCCAAGCTGGGCAGGTTCCTGGAGAGGCGGCATTATTTTTTAAAATGTTCTAAATAAATGAATAGCTTAGGCTGAGAGAGCATGACTGACCCCTGCACCAGCTGGCTAGTGGAGATCTGAACCTGGTTCTCCTATATTCTAGTTGGACACTCTTACTGCCCTGGCTGTGTTAACCCTTTCTTCACATGCCTTCACTACTCCATCAGGTTGCCAACTCCAGCTTGGGATATTCCCGGAGATTTGGGGGGGGGGACCTCAGTGGGGTATAATGCCAAAGATTCCTCCCCCCAAGCAAAACTGCAACTTCCTCCAGGGGAAACTGATCGCTGCAGTCTGGAGATGGGCAGTGTTCCCTCTAAGCTGAGTTACAGTGAGCCAGCTCAGTTTTTCAGCCTCCAGCTCACAGATTTTTTTGTCTCAGCTCAGGAAGGACGGCTGCAGAGCAAACTCATTCATGCAGCAGCCAAATCAGTCGCTCACAACTTTAATGCCAGGAGCTCACAAAGTAGCTCACGCAAGACTCCAAAGCTTAGAGGGAGCATTGGAGATGAGCTGTAATTCCAGGAGATCTCCAGGCCCCGCCTGGAGGCTGGCAACCCTACAAAACCTGTTGCTTAACCAGAGGCTGCCGTGTCAGCCTTCTGAAACCAGCTGATTCCTAGATGCCCTTCTAGGAAGCTCACTATGCCCATAAATACTCTCACCTTAAGAGTGGCTCTCTGGTGGGTAGGCATATATACCTGGTGCCAGAAAACCTACCAGGAACGCTCCCTTCCAGGGCTCCTTAAAGCCAACACCTATGGTGCCCCCTCCCATAAGTATCCCTTCCCGGGGGAGAGAAATCCCACCACCCTTTCTCTTCGACAATGGGGGGGGGAAGACGCTGCATATGCTCAGAGGCACTCTCAAGATTCTTATCAAGAGGTGCCCCAAACGTGACCCGGGGAATCCTCCGCTTCTTCTAACTAACCCCCCCACCCACCCAGCCTCTCTGTCTTGGAAGCACATGTGGATGCATGCAGTCCGGGAACGCCAGAAAGGCGTTCTGCACATGAGCAGAGACGCTGATGCATGCAGTCTAGGGAAAGTAGGAATGTCACTCTGAGCATTAGCAGAGACTCTGATGCAGGCAATCTAGGGAAGGCACTCTGTGCACAAGCAGAAGCACTGGTGCAGGGAGTCTGGGGATGTCAGGGAAGGCCCTCTGCACATGAGCAGAGGAGCTGACACATGCAGTCTAGGGAAAGGCGGCACTCTGCAGATGAGCAGAGATGCTGATGCATGTAGTCTGGGGGCGGCAGTGAAGGCATTCTGTGCATGAATAGAAGAACTGACGCACGCAGTCTAGGGAAGGCGGGGAAGGCCCTCTGCACATAGGGCTGCCACCAGTGTTCCCTCTAAGCCGAGTTCATGTGAGCCTAGCGCACAGTTTTTTAGCCTCCAGCTCACACATTTTCGTCTTAGCTCAGGAAGGAGGGCTCCAAAGCAAACTGACTCAGGCAGTAGCCAAGTCACTCGCTCACAACTCTAATGCCAGTTGCTCACAGAGTTGAATTTTTGCTCACAAGAATCCGCAGCTTAGAGGGAACATTGGCTGCCACCCTCCAGGTGAGGACTGGAGATATACCAGAATCAAACTGATCTCCAGATAACAGAGATCAGTTCCCCGGGAGAAGACGGCTCATTTGGAGGGTGGACTCGACGGCCGTTAAACCCCACGGGGGCCCTCCCCGTTCCCAGCCTGGAGTTGGCAACCCGCTCTGCACACGAGGCACCGAGGCACGCCGACCGGGGAAGGCGCGGGCGGGGGGGAGCACTCCGCACACGAGCAGAGAGACGCCGACGCGCGCGCCGCCTAGGGGAGGCGCTCTGTGCATGAGCAGAGGCGCCCTCGCCCTCCCGCAGCTCCGGCATCGGCAGCGAGGGAAGGCAGGCGAGAGAAAGGGAGGGAAGAGGGGAAGGCAGGCAGGAAGGAAGGACCGCCCCGCCGCCCGCCCGCCCGGGCTCCCTCCTCGGCCGCCGCACTCACCAGGGTCTGCTCGTACTGCAGCGCCCGCTGCTCCAGGCCGCCGTCCGCCGCCATCCCGGCCGTCCGTGTGCCCCGCGCCCTCCCCGGCGGCCGGCTCCGCTCCTGTCCCGCCGCCGCCTCCTCCTCCTCTCCGGCCGGCCCCTCGCTCTCGCTCGCTCGCTGGCTGACTCGCTGGCTCGGCCTCTGCCCGGCTCTTCCCCTTCTCCTCCCCACGCCTCCGCGGCGCGGCGGGGCGGGTCTGCCCAGGCAGGGGAGGAGGTCCCGGGACGGGCCGCGCTCCGCCTGCGCGCGGGAAGGCGCAGCAGAAGAAGGCGCCCGCTCGACTGCGGCACGGCCAGGCGGGGAGGCCGGCCGGGAAGGCGGACGGGAGGGTGGAAAAGTTGGCAGGATTGAGAATGGATCTGCCCCCAGTACTCTCGCATGCCTCAAAATGGTGCTTTCCAAGAAGATGGTCAGCATGCCTGAAAATGCCTAATGGAGTCTGAGAGCCTGTTGGTAATGGAAGCTGGACACAGCTCCTAACTACCACACCAAACTGGGTCTCAAAATGGCCACCTCCTCTCCGTTTCACTCAGGGTTTGCATCAGTGGAAGAAGGTGAGGAATGAGATTGCTCTAGTGCCCCCATCTTGTACTTGTGAGCCTCTCCCAGTCCTCAGGAAAGAGTTCCGGAACAAACACCTGGGTGCTCGGAGAAAGAGAAGGCAAGGAAGGATCCACTCCTCCAACTGTTTCCGTGAACTCTTCCTCTGGATCCAACCTGGTGTGAATGTTTGGGATTTATTACATGTAGAGATTGACTATTTTTAATCAAGTTAAGGAAGCTTTGCTCTAGAAGAACCCTCAGTCTTCTGGGAGTTTCTGTAATTTCATTGGAGAGAACTATGTACCTCCTCATTGACCCGATGATAAAAATAGGATAAGTTTATTGGAGTTTGAAGTTCTCTGCATTGTTTGGTTCTGATATTGAAGTAAACCCTTATGAAGGTAAAATAGACCAAGAAATTTTCTTTTTTTTGGCATCCCCTGAGGGATATTTTTTATTATTTTTTATAAGACTACAAAGCTACAAAGAAAATATAAGGAAGGGGGCTAACATCTAAGGATAAAGGAAAGATAACCACACTAACACTAAAAACCCAAGGGGAGAAGATCATATCCCCCCGCGAGTATCGCGGGTCCCGCCCCTTGTTCTTCCTAAAATGCATTTCCTTCTGAAAATTGGGGGGCGCACGGGGAGGGGGGCGCCAGAAGGGATCCCCGCCTAGGGTGCAAAATAAGCTGGGGCCGGCCCTGGTTGCAGTGGGGTTTACTCGGGCGGGGGTGTGTATTAGCAGGGCCGGCTCACTCACTAGGCGAACTAGGCTATCTCCTAGAGCAGGACGGCACTTAGGGGCACCAAACTGCACCCGACCACGTACTCTGGGAGTTTCTTGATTATTTGTGTTTTTCGTGCTTCCTAAAATGCATTTCTTTTTGAAAATTGGTGGGGGTGGGGGTGGGAGAAGGGATCCGCCTAGGGTGCAAAATAAGCTGGAGCCGGCCCTGTGTGTTAGGCTTTTGTCAAAAAACAAAACACACACACAGCCAGGCCACTGGCAGGGGTCCAGGTCCAGGTGGGGAAAGTCCTCGAGATTTGGGGATGGAACCTGGGGGCAGTGTTCCCTCTCAGCTGAGTTAGTGTGAGCTAGCTCACAGCTTCTTAGCCTCCGGCTCACACACTTTTTGCCTTAGCTCAGGAAGGACGGGTCCAGAGCAAACTCATTTATGCAGGAGCCAAATCGCTCAACTCACAGCTTTAATGCTAGTGGCTCAGGAAGCAGAATTTTTGCTCACAAGACCCCACACCTTTGAGAGAGCATTACCTGGGGGAGGTGAGGGACCTCACCTGGAGATGCCGGCCTCCAGGTGGGACCTGGGGGATCAGTGTTCCCTCTAAGCTGAGTCGGTGTAAGCTAGCTCACAGTTGTTTAGCCTCTGGCTCACACGTTTTTGTCTTCGCTCAGGAAGGATGGGGCTCCAGAGCAAACTCATTGATGCAGCAGCCCAATCGCTCGCTCACAACTTTGATGCCGGCAGCTCACCAAGCGGAATTTTTGCTCACAGGACTCCGTGGCTCAGAGGGAGCGATGCTGGGCATCCCCCGGAATTACAGCTCCTCCCCAGGCTACAGAGAACAGTTCCCCCTGGAGAAAAGGGATGCTGTGGAGGGTGGACTGTATGGCACTATATCCCACTGAGGTCCTTGTCCTCCCCGGGCTCCGCCCCCAAATCTCCAGGAGTTTCCCGACCTGGATCTGGCAACCTTACACCCAGGGGTCATTTCCTGCAGGAGCTGTGTTGGACTGGATGGGCCTTTGGCCTGATCCAACATTGGCATCTCTTATGTTCTTAAATCACACTTGAGACCAGGGGTCATTTCCTGCAGGAGCGCACAGGAGCGGAGCTCCGGCAGTAAAGAGCCCAGGGGGCGGGCACATGCAACAAGCCCCACCCCCTGCTCCCAGCAGCCCTCAGACAGAGCAAGAAGCAGCCAGGTAAGTTGCAGAGCTCCCCCGGTCCAAAACAGTCCAGTGGCACCTTTAAGACCAAGTTTTGTTCAGGTACAAGCTCTCCCTCCTCTGTGAGGGCAGATCTGCACGTTTCCCCCCCCCCCAATAGCTAGCGATCCAAAACAGTCCAGTGGAGCCTGAGCGGTGGGTGTTGCCTTCGGTCACACATTATGCTAATGAGCTCCTGCACCTCTTTTTCTACGAAATGACTCCTGCTTACACCCCCTCCCCCACCAGTGGCCAGGGGGGATCCGGCAACCCTACACCCCATTGGGGTACGAAGCCACAGAGTCCACCCTCCAAAGCATCCATTTTCTCCAAGGAACTGATCTCTGTAGTGTGGAGAAGAGCTGTAATTCAGGGGTTTGGCATCCCTGGACAGGGAACAGAAGAGCAGCGGATTACGTTATTGGAGGGAACACGGATGGCTGGGGGGGGGGGAGACACTAATTTATCCCAAAACCCCCCCCCCTTAAAATGCTTGCAGGAATCGCCCCAGATCTAGTGAGCTTCCTTGACTGCCCCCCCCCCAAGAAGAAGAGAAGAGATTGGATTTATACCCCGCCCTTCACTACTCAGAGGAGTCTCAGAGTGGCTCACAAACTTCTTTCCCTTCCCCTCCCCACAACAGACACCCTGTGAGATAGGTGGGGCTGAGAGAGCTCTTGACAGAAATTGTTCTTTTTCAAGAACAGCTCTTATCAGAACTATGGCTTGCCCAAGGTCATCCAGCAGGTGCAAGTGGAGGAGTGGGGAATCAAACCCGGTTCTCCCAGATTAGAGTCTGCACACTTAACCACTACACCAAACATGGCCCAAGACCATGGAAATACCCAAGGTGGTGGCATAAACCCATTCAAGGTTTAAAGCTGCCCGACAATGTGCCACTTTGGGGTCAGGAAAGATTTTTCCCCCAGGCCATATTGGCCCAGAGATCCTGGACGTTTTTTACCTTCCTCTGGGTATAGAGCGGGGGGGGGGGGGGGGGGGGGGGGGGGGGCTGA